TTAGTTTTTATTTGTCCTGGAAGCTTTTAAATCTCTCCTTCTATTTTCAATGATAGCCTACCTGGATATAGTGTTCTTGGCTGCATGTTTTTCTTGTTTAGTGCTCTGACTATATCATGCCAGTTCTTTCTGGCCTGCCAGGTCTCTGTGGATAATTCCACTGACAATCTAATATTTTTACCATTGTATGTTACAGACTTCTTGTCCCAGGCTGCTTTCAGGATTTTCTCTTTCTCACTAAGACTTGTAAATTATACTATCAGATGATGGGGTATGGACTTAATGATTTTGAGAGAGGTTCTCTGCACTTCCTGGATTTTGATGTTTGTTGCCTTTGCCATATTAGGGAAATTCTCTACAATAATTCTCTCCAATATACCTTCTGCTCCCTTCTATCTTTCTTCGTCTTCTGGAATCCCAATTATTCTAATGTTGTTTTGTCTTATGGTGTCACTTATCTCTTGAATTCTCCCCTCGTGATAGTAGTTGTCTCTTTTTTGCTCAGCTTCTTTATTCTCTATCATTTGGTCTTCCATATCACTAATTCTCTCTTCTGCCTCATTTATCCAAGCAGTAAGAGCCTCCATTTTTGATTGCACCTCATTAATAGCTTTTTTAATTTCAACTTGGTTAGATTTTTGTTCTTTTATTTCTCCAGACAGGGTTTCTCTAATATCTTCCATGCCTTTGTTGAGCCCAGCTAGCACCTTGAGAATCGTCATTCTGAATTCTAGATCTGACATATTACCAATGTCCATATTGATTAGGTCCCTAGCCTTTGGTACTGCCTCTTGTTCTTTTTTTTGTGGTGAGTTTTTACACCTTGTCATTTTATCCAGATAACAATATATGAAGGACTGAATAAATTATTGAAAGGGTGGCAAAGACCCCAGGAAAATTAGCTTTAACCAAATCAGAAGAGACCCCAAATTGTGGGGGGAAGAAAGGAGGTAAAAAGAAGTTCAGGGGAAAAAAATTTTAAAAAAGAAAAAATATAAAAAAGAAAATATATATATTAGGCTGGTGAATAGAACTGCATCACCCAATTAATTTTGGGAGTATTTTGGTCTCTTAGAAGAAACTACCTCCTAAAATTTTAAAGAATAAAAATATTTATATATATAATATATACACAAAATAAGGGTAAACATGATGAAGGGATGGACTATGACTATAAAGATGAAAATTTTTTTTTTTTAATTTCTAAAAAGGGAGTTGATAAGTTGTTTGAGAAAATAAAGAAAAAGAAAGTGGAGAGAAGTTGTTCAGGCTGGAGACTGGAACAAAGCCCTGTGTTAGATTTAGGGCATATTTTGATCTATTAGAAGAAGTTGTATCCCAAATTCTTTTAGAAGAAAAAACCCTATGTGTATACAAAAAATAAAGTTAGATCAATGAAGGATAAAATATGACTTAATAATGAAGGCTCAAAAAATATTTTTTATGAAAGTTATTGTTAAGATAAACTAGTTTTAAAATGTTAAAAAAAGGAGAGTAAAGGTTTAAAAAAATTTAGCATAAGAAAAAATAAAATAAAAAAATTAATTAACTTTGCAGGAGTAAAGAATCATGGGGAGAAAGCCATGAATTCCATGCTTTGCTTTCTCCTCCTCTGGAATTCTGCTGTTCTTGGTAAGTGAACTTGGTCTTGGCTGGATTTCTTGCTGATCATCTGGGGGAGGGGCCTGTTGTAGTTATTCTCAAGTGTCTTTGCCTGAGGCAGAATTGCACCGCCCTTACCAGGGGCTGGGCTAAGTAATCCACTTGGGTTTGCTTTCGGGAGTTTTATTCCCTGAATGCTTTCCACAGAGCTCTGGAGGACAGGAATGAAAGAGACCTGAGACCTCCCAATCTCTGGCCCAGAGGAGCTGAGGGCTTGGGGCCCACTCCTCAGTGTGCCCTCAGAGAAAAGTGCTCAATCACTCCCGTCTCCCTGGCATCTGGCCATGCTCCAAGCTCACCTAGCCTGTGACCAAGCATCACTGTCTCTGGCACCCAGCCCCACCCGGAGTCTCCAAACCCAGCAAATTCCTGCACTCTTCCAGGAGGGTCTCTCCAGATCTTGTGAGGTCTCTGCTCACAGAGCAGAAGTTAAGGTAACCCGAGTTGAGAGCTCACTCCTCAGCTCCATCTCTGTAGCCGGCTTTCCAGCTGTAATACCTGTGGCCTCTGTGACACTCAGACACCCCTGATCCTTCTGTGGCCCTGTGGGACCTGAGACCACCCCGTCCCCACGTGGGCTTCACCCCAGCTTAGCCTCTGGAGCAATGTCCCTCAGTAGAGCAGACTTTTAAAAGTTTTGATTTTGTGCTCTATTGCTCCACCACTTGCCAGGAGCCAGCCCCTACCCCACAGTCTATCTTCCTGACACTTTGGATTCACTTCTCCGCAGGTCCTACCTTTCAGAAAGTGGTCAATTTTCTGTTTCTAGAATTACTGTTATTCTTCCCTTCAATCTCCTGTTGGAATTGTAGGTATTCAGAATGGTTCAATAAACTATCTAGCTGATCTCCTGCTACCTGATGTTATCTCAGCCTGCTACTTCTCCACCATCTTGACACCTCTGAAATCTTCTTTAGAGAAGTGCCTGTTCATGCTTTCTGCCCATTTTTTGACATGATTATCTGTTTTCTGAGTGTTGAGTTTGAGGAGTTCTTTACAGATCCTGGAGATCAGTCCTTTGTCTGTAGTGTCAATTGTGAATATCTTCCCATTCTGTGGGTTGCCTCTCTGTTTTGTTGACTATTTCCTTTGCTGTGCAGAAGCTTTTGATCTTGATGAAGTCCCAAAAGTTCATTTTCGCTTTTGTTTCCTTTGCCTTTGGAGACATGTCTTGAAAGTTGCTGTGGCAGACACTTCTCCAAAGAAGACATACAAATGGCTAGACTTTTCATAGTCTAGTTTCTTAAGATTTTGTTTATTTGTCAGAGAGAGAGAGAGCACAAGCAGGGGAGTGGCAGGAAGAGGGAGAAGGATAAGTAGACTCCATGCTGAGCAAGAAGCCCAATGCAGGGCTCCATCCCGGGACCCTGGGATCATGACCTGAGCCAAAGGCAGACACTTAACTGACTCAACCACCCAGGCATCTCTATCTTGGGAGTCTTTTTGCATCAATATTGATTTCTTTAAATATTACATTATTTATTTTGATTACTTGGTTTTTGATACCTCTTAAATTTTGTGCCTGAAGCAAGTGCTTCATTCACTTCCTCATAATCACAGTACTGACCTATTAATTAGCATGATTCTTAAAGGGCAAAAATTTCCAACAGCCATACAAGAATTCAGTGGGCCTGGCCCTGTGCTTATCCTTCCAGGTGCCACATCCCAGGTGCCACTGTCCTTGTCCTCTCTGCTACTGTCGTTTGGCCTCTAATGCACTCCCTCCATCCACAGCCTCTGCACACACTCTTCTCTCACCACAGAAGGCTCTATCTCCCTGCAACACCTTCCTCTGACTCCCCTTTACACATTGACTTCCTTTTTTGAACATTACTATAGAACAGTTTTCTTCATAGTTCTTACCTAAGTTTTTGATTATAGATTTACTTTGATTATTTATTAATCCCTGGAGAGCCCACAAGGCTCTAAGTGTCATACTATTAAAATATGCCTACATCACTGACTGTAGCACTCCCAGTGCCAAGTACAGGGCCTGGTGAAAGGCAGATATTCCATTACTATTCATAGAATGAATGAGTGAATGGGTTAACATGCAATTTGGGCTCTAGCACATGAGGTAAATCAGGCCTATGATTTGTTCCAAGGTGTACTCAGCACTAGCTTAATAGGATAATAACACAGGTGCAAAGTGGAATACAGTCCTGTGACAAATAACTCGGAAAAAATCTGGGTTTAATGAAATTCGGCCTAGCTTTCAACCCAGATGCTTAAAATGAGTTACTGAATTTCTAGATTGGAAACTTCTAGCTGAATTTCCCAAATTATTTGCTCATGTAACCTTTTTTCATGGAATAACTTATGGCGCTAGTTTCACAACTGAGTCTGTTAGGAACAAGAATTGATGAGGGGGTTTAATCATCGCTCAAGGGAAGGGGAAGGAAGTTTCTGTCAAATATAATGTTTGTTCTTTATAATAATAATTTCACAATCATAAAATCACTTTTTAATTGTGCTATGGTATGACATCATTGTAGATTTATAAAACTTTGTGGCTTGTGTACTTTAAGCATTCTCCTATATTTATCCAGCTTTATTGAAGTATAACTGACAAACAAAATTATATGTATTTGAAGTGTACATTGTGGTGACTTGATATACGTATATATTGTGAAATGATTACTATAGTCAAGCTAATTAACACATCCATCACCACCTCATAATTATTTTTGTGTGTAGTGAGAACACTTAAGATCAAATATAACAGTATTATCAACAATAGACACCATGCTATTCATTAGCTCCTCAAAACTTATTCCTCTTATAACTGAAAGTTGGTACACATTTCCCTCATCCCCCAGCCACTTCACTGCAATCACCATTCTTCTCTCTGCTTCTGTGAATTAGACTTTTTCAGATTCTACCTTAAGTGAGATTAAAAATTTGTCTTTCTGTGTCTGCTTTATATCACTTAGCATAATGTCCTCCAAGTTCATCTGTGTTGTTGCAAACAGCAGAATTTCCTCCTTTTACATGGCTGGAAAATATATATATATTTCTTTATCCATTTGTTTTCCAAAACTATAGTAATCAAAACAGTATGGTACTGGCATAAAAACATGTAGACCAATACAACAGAATAGGGAACCCAGAAATAAACCCACACATACGTGGTCAACTAATCTTTAACAATGGTGACAAGAAGACATGATGGAGAAAGGATAGCCTTTCTAACGTGGTGTTGGGGAAACTGAATATCCATATCAAATGAAAAAGAATAAAATTACACCACATAAAAAAGTTAACTTAAAATAGGTTAAAGAGAGGTAGGAGGTGCCGCCACGGATCAGTTATTCTGTGAGGTGGTGGTGAAGGGGGTATCTTCTGGCGGAGATATGGGTTTAGATGCTGTAAAAGAACACTCAGCATTACACGCCAAGCCCAGTGGACTCATTCTTCAATATGGGACTGCTGGTTTTCGAACAAAAGCAGAACATCTTGATCATGTCATGTTTTGCATGGGATTGTTAGCTGTCCTGAGGTCAAAACAGACCAAGTCTACAATAGGAGTCATGGTAACTGCATCACATAATCCTGAGGAAGACAATGGGGTAAAATTGGTTGATCCTTTGGGTGAAATGTTGGCACCGTCCTGGGAGGAACATGTTACCTGTTTGGCAAATGCTGAGGAACAAGACATGCCAAGAGTGTTGATGGACATCAGTGTGAAAGCAGCCGTGAATCTGCAACAAGATGCCTTCGTAGTGATTGGTAGAGATACCAGGCCCAGCAGTGAGAAATTTTAACAGTCTGTAATAGATGGTGTGACTGTTTTAGAAGGTCAATTCCATGATTATGGCTTGTTAACAACACCCCAGCTGCACTACATGGTGTACTGTCGAAATACTGGTGGCCAGTATGGAAAGGCAACCATAGAAGGTTACTATGAGAAACTCTCTAAGGCTTTTATGGAGCTTACCAAACAGGCTTCTTGTAGTGGAGATGAAAACAGATCACTTAAAGTTGACTGTGCAAATGGCATAGGGGCCCTGAAGCTGAGAGAAATGGAACACTACATCACCCAGGGGCTGTCAGTTCAGCTGTTTAATGATGGGACCAGAGGGAAACTCAACCATTTATGTAGGGCTGACTTTGTGAAAAGTCATCAGAAACCTCCACAGGGAATGGAAATGAAGTCTAATGAAAGATGCTGTTCCTTTGATGGAGATGCAGACAGAATTGTTTATTACTACCTTGATGTAGATGGTCACCTTCATCTCATAGATGGACACAAGATAGCAACACTAATTAGCAGTTTCCTTAAAGAGATCCTGTTGGAGATTGGAGAAAGTTTGAATATTGGTGTTGTACAAACTGCGTATGCAAATGGAAGTTCAACACGCTATCTTGAAGAAGTTATGAAGGTACCTGTCTATTGTACTAAAACTGGTATAAAACATTTACAGCACAAGGCTCAAGAGTTTGACATTGGAGTTTATATCGAAGCAAATGGGCATGGGACGGTACTGTTTAGTAAAGCTGCTGAAACAAAGATAAAACAACTAGCAAGAGAATTAGAAGATAAGAAAAGGAAAGCTGCTAAGATGCTTGAAAATGTTATTGACTTGATTAACCAGACCGCTGGTGATGCTGTTTCTGACATGCTGGTGATTGAGGCAGTCTTGATCCTGAAGGGCTTGACTGTACAGCAGTAGGATGCTCTTTATACAGATCTCCCAAACAGACAGCTCAAAGTTAAGGTTGCAGACAGGCAAGTTATTAGCACCACTGATGCTGAAAGACAAGTGGTTACACCTCCGGGGCTACAGGAGGCCATCAATGACCTGGTGAAGAAGTACAAGCTTTCCCGAGGTTTTGTCTGGCCTTCTGGTACAGAAGATATAGTCCGAGTATATGCAGAAGCGGACTCGCAGGAAAATGTGGATAGCCTCGCACATGCAGTGAGCTGGGCAGTATTTCAGCTGGCTGGAGGAGTTGGAGAAGCACCCCAACTAGGTCTTTGAAGACAGTTTTTATGATCATGAGAAACCGGATTTTTAAAAAGTTTTTACAAAATAGTACTGCCATTACTGTGACAGATTCAAAGACATTTGTAATCAAAATGTTTACAATGCATCTTATTATATTGCTTCTAGAATGGATTGTTTTTCTTAAACACTACCTTAGTAATTGTTTAGAAGTAGGTAAGCCTTATACTTGTTAAATTTTGTTTTTAAAAATTACCCAATTTCAGTGTCACTAATGTAAAGTATCTGGGCTTCGCTGTGTGTTTCAGTCATTAACTTTCTAATACATGCAGAGAAAATTCATGAGGGCTGCTGGAAAATTAAACCTTATTATCAGCTCCTGGAAAAAAAAAATAGGTTAAAGACTTGCAACACCTGGGTGTCTCCATCAATTAAGGACCTGGTTCTTAATTTTGGCTCAGGTCATGATCTCAGAGTTGTGAGATCAAGCTCTGCATCAGGTTCTGCACTAGGTGTGGAACCTGCCTAAGATTCTCTCTCTCCCTCTCTCTCAGCTCTCTCTCTCTCTTTCTCTCTCTACCTCCTTTCCTACTTCCATCCCTTCCTAAAAAAAGGGAATGGGGGATTAAAGACTTAAATGTAAGACTTGATATCTTAAAACTCCTAGAAAAAAACATAGGTTAAAATCTTGACGCTTGTTTTGGCAATGATTTTTTTGGATATGATACCAAAGCACAAGCAACAAAAGCAAAAATAAACATGTTGGGACTACATCAAACTAAAAAGCTTCAAAGGAAACCATCAACAAAATGAAAAAGTGACCTATAGAATGGTTAAAAAAATTGCAAACCAAATATCTGATAAAGATTTAATACCCCCAAATGAGTTGTACTCATACTACTCAACTACAACAACAACAAAATTAAATAACCTGATTTTAAAATCAGCAAAGGACTTAACAGACATTTTTTCCAAAGAAGATATACTGATGGCCAATATGTACATGAAATGTGTTTGTTATTTCCTATTTAAAGTTGTCCTAGGTTAAAAAAAAAAAGGGGGGGGCGCCTGGGTGGCTCAGTGGGTTAAAGCCTCTGCCTTTGGCTCAGGTCATGATCTCAGGGTTCTGGGATTGAGCCCTGCATTGGGCTCTCTGCTCTGCGGGGAGTCTGCTTCCCTCTCTCTCTGCCTGCCTCTCTGCCTACTTGTGATCTCTCTCTGTCAAATAAATAAATAAAATCTTTTAAAAAAAGCACAATTTTTAATTATTAGAATGAATTTTACCACTCATCTTTATGTTATAGAATGCCAGTTTTAAATGCAAATAAAGGTGCATTTAACTCATATGTAGAATCACAGAAATTACACAATTTACATTTTGTAACTTATATGTACACATGTACTTTATTTTACATGTTACTGTGGCAAAACTACACAAAACAAATTGAACTGCTTTTAATTGTACTTCTTGGTATGTGTACATTCTACCAACCCTCTACCTTTGGCTTACTGATGAGTAAGGAAGGACTTTCTCTTTCCTTCAATGCTATTTTCACCAAATACAGGGAAGAGCACAAGCAATGATATGATAGAGTTTCTTGGTCATTTGTGCCTCCTGGAACCTCATTGCTTTCTTTCTGTGTTCTCAGCAAGCTCTGATTTGATCAGTAAGTGTAGCCTCTGGGGCCATGGGTCATAGGTAAAATGTGCTTATTGTGTCCTCACTTCAAGTGAGTCCACTGAGATTCTGCGTTCATGGGGCATGTAAACACTGTCTGCCAATGGGTCAGCAAGGAAGAGCCCCAAATTCCTTTGCTCACAAGTATATTCCATCATCCCATCAATAGAAATCTATTAATTTTAGATTAATTAATTAATTAATTAATTTTAGGACAATGTCACCTTGGAGCCTGAACTCCTTCTGAAAGTGGGGCTCTATAGCCACCCTGACTTCCATGTCTCACTGTGGGTCATCTCTTGGCCTGGGAGCCTGAGCCACTAATTTGAGGGTCACCTGAGCCCTCCTCTGACCTCTCCCCACATAGGATCCCAAGCAAAGCCTGCCACAAGTGTCTTCTCTCTTCTTCCTTCCTAAGTCAATTCTACTTTGGAGATCCTATAACTTTCAGGTCCCCCAGTTCCACTCCTACTCCCTGCCCATCTAGCCTCTCAATAGGAGCCAACAATCTTTCTAAAATGCAAATTGTTGGGGTGACTGAGTTTCTCACTGTGGCTCTATATGTTAACTATCTGCCTTCAGCTCAGGTCATGATCCCAGGGTCCTCAGATAGAAACTTCTGTTGGGATCCCTGCTTAGTGGAGAGTCTGCCTCTTCCTCTCTCTCTGCCCCTCCCCCCACTCATTCTCTCTCTCTCTCTCTCTCTCAAATAAACAAAATCCTTAAAAAACCATGAGAGACTGTGGACTCCAAGGAACAAACTGAGGGGTTTAGAGGGGTGGAGGGTGGGGGATGGGTGAGCCTGGTGGTGGGTATTAAGGAGGACATGTATTGCATGGATCATTGGGTGTTATATGTAAACAATGAATCTTAGAACACTATACCAAAAACTAATGATATATTCTATAGTTACTAACATACATACATACATACATACATACATACATATATAAATAAATAAATAATATGCAATTGTTGTCACAAACACATACAAACCAAGGGAAATCCTCCAGTTCTTGTAGGGTTCCATCCACACTCATCAGTATTCCCTTATGGCCTCTAGCTCTTCCTGGCACTTCCCTTAGTCTCTCCCTTCTACCTCCACACCTCTCCTCCTCTGCCCATCTCTTCCCCAGCCTTACAGGCTCAGTGCAGGGCTGATGGCTCTCAATGACCCTAAACACATTCACCTTAATTAAGTGCCCCTCCTCTGGGCTAACATCAATCACAGAGTTCATTAAACTGTATATCTTTGATTTACTTCCTAATTTCTTCCCCAAAAAGCAATGAACAACTTAGGGACAGGGACAGCAATTTTCATGCTTTGTTTCTAGCACCAAGCTTAAGGGACTCACACAGAGCAACGTTCATAAATGGTTTCATAGGGAAAAGGCCCAGATGACATGGTAACTGGGGCAGGCAGAAAGGCCCTCCCTTTGGCTCCAGCCTGCAGAAAGCTCAACCATGAAATCTTTCATTTTCACATTACAAGTATTTTGATATCAAAAATACAATCATGAAAAACTTTTATTCAAACCATTTTGTTTTACTTTCTCATGAGAGCTTACCTAAAAGATTACAAGGTAGTGAAATGGTAAAAAGTACCCCTCTGAATGTCAGGAGAAATGGCTCTGTTCTTGTGCTGCCATTAAATGCTGCCATTAAATGCTCTGTGTTGTTAGGCAAATCATCTAAATTTGGGGGGCTTTGGTGCATTTATCTTTCAAATAAAGACTGTACTAACTGGTGATAATAATGTATGCACTCACTATAGCCACCTGCTACATTTCAGTCTTCATTCAACATATGATCTCATTCCCCACCCCAAACAACCCCTTTTCCAAACAACTAATGTGAGACTCAGAGGTTAAATGTTTGTACCATCTGGTTCTGGTAAAGCAGTGCTTGGAAAAGTGGCACACGCTGTTGTACCTCACTCCTCTTCTCTGTACATCACTAAAATTCCATTTCAAAAAACTGCTACTTTACCAATCTTCCCACAGCTATGAAGAGGCTGACAGTTCTGGTGTCAACACTTGATGGTCAAATTGTGCCAGGCCTCCCAGGTCAGTCTGATTCAGTTAATTCTGCTCCTTCCTCTCTGCAATTCTGTCTAAAAGGAACTCACAGCTCTGAATTC